TTTTAAACTTACCATTTTCATAAACAGCACTATGCACTTGCTTAGGCCTTAACACTGATGAGTTAGAGGTAAACCCTGGAGGCAGTCTGACATGCAGCAGTGTGAGGTATTGAGGTCTTTGAGGTCCACTTTGATTGGCACTAAAAATAAATTAATCATATAACAAGTATAATATATAAGCTTTATAAACTATGTAATTTAACTTACTCTCCACTCCCAGTACTGAAGTACAACCGAGCACCCATTTGTGTCACAGCAACCAGATTCAAATGGTCTGATTCTGATTCTTCCACAGCTGATATCGCAATAACTGGTTTAAAGTTAGATGCTTCTAAAGTTCTGTTGAAATAACATTAGCGATTAATTGAAAATGAAATGATTTTAGGAAACTTATTTTCAGAAAGACACTTTAAAATAGAAAAGAACATACTTAACAATATCCACAGCACAAGAGACAATTTTTCCCTGTGTTAATTTCACAACCCTGCTTATACTCTCTCCATCGCTGCCCAAATCAAACACTTCTATACAGCCTTTTTCACTTAATGTATACAATATATGTCTTGAATTGTCTACTTCTATTTTAACTATAGGATCCTCATCGTACAATGCAGCATTTAGGAATGAAGGTACCAGAAATGATAGAGCACTCGTGGAATGATTAATTTTCTTACAGTGTTTACCAAACCATCCTAGTTGTGCCTGAAAATGTAACAAAATCAATTCATATCCCGATTTTCTTAAACTGAGTTTTAATATAAAATTGCTTTTAAAAAGCATGTAACTGCAAGAAATGACAGTGTTTTTAAACCCTTTTCCCAAAAAACAAATTGCTGGTTGTCTAATAATTTAAAATAAATCTAGGATTCTCAAAAACAGGAATCCTAGAAGTCATTGCGGCAACACTGATTGGTGTAATTATTCTTAATGTGCAATAAAGATATTCTTATTCTATTGCTAATTGCATAGCGATCGCAGCTGAATAAAGTCATGCTAGTGGAAAAAAGATTTCAAAGTTGGCAATTTTCATTTACCTGATAAGTTATTTCATACAAGCATCCATCTTTGCCACCCATGAATATGCGACCTTCTGCAGTTGACTTCACACACATCATAGATATGCCATCTGTTGGCAAAACAAATACTGGTTCCGGCACTAAATGTATTTCTTCAAATTCACCAATACCATCATTTTTACTTGCAGAAAATGTTACACCTGTCAATAATAATTTCAATTAACCAACAATATACATAACTTACATTTAATTACCTTTATTTAACAATGAAATAGTTACCTAAGACTACTATTTCTACAGTTGTTGTTAATACAAGTAAATATTTAACAAAATTTTGGAATACACCAGTCTTAGGCTTGACTAGGCCGACACTGACTATGGTCTCTCCCAAACCATCAAAATAAGCCACATCACTGCCATGTTCGAAGGCCCATACATAAATGTTACTATCTATTGCTAACCAAACTCTGCTTATTTCTGGAAATACACCCATCAAACAATGGCATTGCATATCTGATTATACTATAAGAATAATTATTTCATTTATGACGAATTTCAGACAAAAAATAGTTGAAATACACATAATCTCATCAATACAGCTTGTGGCTATATATTTGTATTATTTTTCTATTAAATATAAATATTTAAAATTCTGTTAAAGCAGAAAAAAAAAGGATACGGGCAAAGTGTTCCATTATTTCAGGTGGAAGAGGAACTTTGTTTAATATTTTGAGTTGTGATAGATTTGGATGATTGAGTATTGCTGCAAGGTTTCTGTAATCGCCAGCATTGAGACCACTGCATGTTGGACTTCTTTGTTGTGCTATGCCAGTTATCTAAAATACAGAATCAGGTTAGAACAGAATTTATCATTGAATAAATAGATAAATATAACATAATCCAACAGTGTGTTTTCACTGAATAAACATTTCTAAAAATTACATGACATGTTTTTTCTATGCAATTTAAAGGGAAAAAGATATGTGAATAATGTTTCATAGATGCCTATTTATTTGATATTGTTGGAAAAGACTTCATATAAAGAGATTACAAAGCAGGCATGTATAAGTTTTATAACAGTGTGCTTAATAATAACGAAAACATAAAAAGCAAACCTCTAAAAAAGAAGGGCGGGAATTATCCACTATAATGTACCGGTCCAGGGTGCACCCCGCCAATTCCAAACACTCCAGTTGCATGTTGCCACCGTTTGATTGCCTAGATCCTTCAACGCTGTTTATTATGCTGGGCATCTAAAAACATTATTCCAATGGTCAAAACTTTTTACCTATCTAAAAGATAAAACTATACAAGAGGTTATACTCTTGCTGTCAAAAATGACTTTTACTTTATTCTTGCCCGGATTATACCTTTAATTTTTCGTCACTTGCGTAAATACTTTTTTACGAAGACCATAGTTACATTAAAGTGCGACAAAGTGGTATGTTTATACTAAAGCTACAGTATTTTTAACGGAACAGGGAAGATCGTAAAATTTTAAGATTAGAATTAAAAATTTAAAATTAAAACGGTCCATACAAACAACATTGTCGCTACTAAACTATAGACAAACCATAGATTATAGAGAATTTACTGTCAAAGATTATGGACCAAAGAGTTTGTAAGCATAATTTTATTTTAACCTACAGGTGTTTCCCGGAGCTGTACTCAGTTACTCAGGTCTGATAAGCACTGAGGCATTAACGCACAATGATAACTCCTCATTCAAATCTTATTAAATTCCTTTTGTATAAACAATTACTTTCACATTTTACTCTACCAATCAAAAGACATAGGTTATTAGTATTTTCATAATAAACGAACCACAGTGTATCCATATTATATGTTTATTGATAAAAACATTACAATTATAATATTCAATAAGTTCTATAGATTATTCTAAGTTAACAAAATAAATAATCCCTGCAGAATAAGTGATAAAACTAAAGACTGAGGACTTTCAGCAGAATTGACTGCGTTGTCTTTGTAATTCTCCTTCTTCTTAACATCAACTTCGTTTAAAAACTTGGTACTTGGCTCAATTGTCGGCATTTTACAATTCTCTTTTGATTGTACTGTATTTATAGGATTATCCATTGTCGAAGAACGTACTATAGCTTCTGAAAGCGATAATTTCTTAATATCCTCTTTAGATTTCTTAACTTCTAGAGCAATTGTTGTGTTCGTTTCTGGAGAAAGAAAATAAGGTTGGTTCATTTAAAATGCTAACATTAAATAGTAACAATATAGTTTGAATATTATAAACTCACATTGAACTAAAATTAACATGTTACATATTTGCTATTCGTAATTTTATACTTGAAGAGGGATTTCATAAGAAATTAAAGTTAGAGTAAGTGGATTGCAAACAGGATGTGGGTGCAAGGTATGGGTTAATATTCTAAGATCCGAATCTTAAAAATTATAATCATGTTAAATCTGTATAGTCACGTTGTACTCTATAAGAATTAAGAACCCTACCCCGTGACCTGTAGCTTTCTTGACGAATAGTTTTTAAAAAAAGATGCACGTACGAATTAAACTCATATAATACCTGATAGTGGCGTTTGTACAGAAAACAGAAAAAAGAAATAGGAAACCGTCGCTTTTAAAAAATAATAGTTTCTGTTGTCGAAATTATCTTTTTAATGAAGCAAGGCAAATGTTTAGTTTATCATCAAGTTAGTTATCTCAAAATTATTTGTAACCTTCCATAATTGTTTGTAGGTTTTTTTTTTCATTAGATCTACATTTATACATAGTGTAAATGAATAATACGAAATTGTAGTTTGTTTTCTTTTTATTTGTTGTCTGTTAGTTTAAACATGACACGCGACAACGTTATTAAACATAGAAAAACAAAACATATAAAACATTTTAAAAACAATAACAACATTCACACAAATAAGTGTATATTAACTAAAAACCATCTTTAAGTATCAGTTGTCCTTTAGGTCCTCCGATTATTTGACCGTCAGCATAAACAAGTTGTCCTCTTACGTATGTCTGAATAACTTTTCCATTTAATACTCTATTCATGTATGGACTTATCTGAAAAGAAAAAAAATAAAAAAATAGTATTATTTCAAATCTATCAAGAGACAAAATCCAGAGTGATTTATATTATTCACTTAAAAAATATGTTTAAAATAACATTTTACAGTTGTTAAAGTTAAGTAAAAATTAGTTTTTTGTTTAAAATAATAATAGAAAAAGAATATCACCTTGTTCTTGTAGAATATGATATCAGGCGTGACAACGAATGAAGCGTTGGGGTCAAAGAATACGAGATCGGCATCAAGGCCTGGCCTGATGGCTCCCTTTCTGCTCTGCAAGCCGCACAGCTGCGCCGGGCCGGCAGACAGGTAGTGGCTCACATCACCCAACTTAAAACCTCTCGCTTTAGCCTGCGTCCAGAACAAGGATAGACCTAAAAACATAACAGGCAACATTTAAGAACACGTACATAAAAATAATACATTTTTAAAGTTTTGTCTTCATAGTCTTCCCCAATACTTCGAACTAATTATTATATCTGTAGGACGCGTTTTTTATCCTTTGATGACTAGATCTAAGTAGGCTAACAATGTCTGTGACATAAGCAATAATTGACTCTATGAACATCGAGAAAAATAATTCTATTTATGGCTCACCGAATTGAACGGACGATATTCCACCCCATGACTCCAAAAAGTTAGACGACTTCAAGGCCGCTACCGACGGTGAGTGATCCGATGCGACCAGATCTAGTCTGTGTTCCTTAATGTACTCCCAGAGTTGTTGCTGAAAACTCATTAACATAAGTTCCTACTACTTCAACACAAAGTATAAATACTCACATAAGATATTATGTACGACTTAAACAGTTAATCGGGCCATTGGCATTATTGATATGCAAATTTCATTAAGTCCGTATACGTCCAAGTGACAATTAGTTAATTAGCTTACATTTTCAGTGTTAAGGTTATTCAAGTTGTAGTAGTTATTGTTCTATATTATTACATGGTCATATAACCTGAAAAGATTTGTTATACAAGATAGCAAACGAGCGAGCGGCTACCTACAATAGGCAAAATATGTTTCTCTAATGTTCACTATCTTTAGGCATCTGCTATAATTAAGAGGTTGGTTATTGCCTACATTTAATTGCCAAGGTAGTTGATATACAGAGAAGGGGTGTATTTCCCTATATTCCTTTCCCTATTAGATATGTATAAATAACGTACCTTGTTAGTATTATTCCTAATAGGCGGAGAGCATTTGTATTCGCTGTGACCAGCTGGTATCTGCTCGGAGCTGAGCGTGAGGTAGTGGTGGCAAGTTTCAGCTGTGACGCCGCCACGCCAGCCCTTGTTCCCGGCGTGGATGCGCTCCAGACGAGCCTTCTCAAGTATGGGGACAACGCCCGCCGCCGACACGTGTACTATGTGAACGTGCACGCTGTAAATACGAGAGAAATTACCAAGACATTCAAATATTGCGAGTAAATCGCAAGTGCATTTGGGAAAAAATAAAAAAAAAAACCAGAAGCCCATGTCCTAAAATGTAATCCATGAAAGACTAGCTTTATGTGTTTTATACTTTACAAGTATAGTATAAAGAAGATACCGTATCTTCATTATTTATATTTATAAACTATAAATATTTATTGTTTATTTAAACAATAATCGATAAAAATAATTTTAAAGAACTATTTATAAACAACAATTCCTTGGAAATAGTCGATTTGTATAATTACGTACTTAGTTATCGTGCTAACAAGGTAGTAATATAAAAAAAAAGTTTGATAACATCGTTCTAACGTCTGTTTCAGTATTTATCCTAATACACCTAGATTACTCACGTCAATGCACTTTCGAGTGGCGAGCTGAGCTGACACAAAAATGTCAATTTATTTGATAATACTCAGACAAAGCCATCGACACAATAGAATATTTGCTTCGGGAAAACCATAATTAAATACTTTATTACTATGTAGTTATTTCAAGAACAATCGCTTTCTGAATAATGATATTAGATGATACATTGAAAGATTATATCCTAGGAACATATCTCTGTTCCGAAAATACTATATTTCATACTAATATTATAAACACGAAAGTTTAGATGGATGTTTGTTAAAGTTTGTAGTCTAAACGGCTGAACCAATTTCAATGAAATTTGGTATAGATTTAGAGGATAGTCTAAAAGAACAGATAGGTTAACCACTTTGTTTTTTTATTCTCCGCGGACGGAGTCGCGGGCGAAAGCTAGTTAATTAATAATTAACAAATTTTAGCGCCCAAATTGATTTTGAATTAGTTTATAGTTATGTTATCGTTATTTTTTAAAAGAAGGAAATTAAACCGGTCTAATTAGTTATTCAATTACGTACGTAACTTCAAATCTGCTCTCATTCATATCTGATAGGACTGTTTATACAACATCCTTATGCATTATCGATAGTCAATAATGAATGTTTATAGGTTAACTAGAAACAAAATGGGAAAACATAACATTGTTAGAATTGATTTCCTGTATATCTATACTCTATACTATTATAATAAAGCGTAAACACACACTTCTTTGTTGCCTAAGATGACAGCAGTTACAGCATGTTTTTGAATCATTTTTTTTAAAATAAAAAGTCTAATATGGGAAAGAGATCATAAGTTGCTGCCAACATCTAGAAAGTAAGATTGCCAAGGTTTATCATGTCGTGTCATTTTGACATTTGCAATTGATTATTTGACACATGTAAACAATAAAATAAAATTTTCATAATTTCATGCGGATTAAGCCGCATGGGCTAGTATAGTTATACTTTGAATAATGTAGTCACAACAATGGTTACAATAATTATGGATACAACTTACTCTGTGGTCGGCAAATAACTTGCTATTAAAGATACAGCCGCTTCTTCCATTTCAGGAGGATGGGTCGCCAAATAGGTACTGTACAAATGTGGGTCTGAAATAATATTGAATCATTTTTACATCACAAGAAAGAATATGACTACTGGAAATTCTGATTTTAAAAATTCGATTGAATAAAACAAAATTATTGCAATAACTACTATGTATAAAAACGAATAATAAAAGTTGAATGAAACATGCAAAATAAAAAATAATTACCGGTGCAATCAAATCCTTCGCACTGAGTATTTGTCTCGTTGATTTCTAGTTCAGCGTGGAACTAAGAAATAAATAAAATAAATTTAGTTAAAAAATATATAAAAAGCAATCCTAGAAATTTTGCGTAATCAGTAGAAATATTTGTAAGTGCAATAAAAATTACACTTTACGAGTCGTTAGTCCAACTTACCGCCAAAACTGTTCCAGTACCATTCAGAACAGAGAAGATAGTTCCTAATTCGATTTGATTGACATTAGGGAATTCGGCTACTCCACTGTCGGCTAAGAAACCTTTAAAGCCAACTACTCCAGCCCTTATCATATCATGTAGCTCCATCTAAAAAAAAAAATGTCTTGAATTCTCAATTTAAGAGGGAATATTAAATGTATCAATGTTGTCAGCTTTCTTCGAGAAAAACAATATGCATGTGCTAAGTTTTAAACATTTGTATGCGTTAATAACTTAAAAACCAAATAGTAATTAACCTCATTGCCAGGGACAATGCCTCCCCAGAAGCCAACATCAACGAATACTTCTTCCCTCGCAGCTGAAGCTTTTACCCTCAAATTTTCTAGTGTTGTAGTCGGCGGTATCGAATTACTGCAAACATAAATCAATTATTTATAATCATCCTAATTCTTTTTCGTAATTTACGATATCGATACAAAATCTGCATTTACAGTGGCATATCGATGACTGTAGTGATGCCCCCAGCGGCGGCTGCCTGCGTTGCCGTTACGTAGCCTTCCCAGGAGGTGCGGCCGGGCTCGTTAACATGTACGTGCGAATCCACCACGCCCGCCATAAGTGCCAGGTCCCCACCATCTATAATCTGAGCATCACGACTGTTTACTATCTAGGTAAAGTTATACATCATTTACTAATGTGCGATTTATACAAAAAAATCTTCCAGAGATAATTTGTAATTCAATTGAATCGAATTATTTTTACAATTACCGTTTAAAAAACTTAAACGCTTTACAAACGTATTATGTACTGTTATTGTAAATAAGTAAAGTATTGGTTGTTTACCTTAACATTACTAGTTTTAGATGTAAGGAATGTGTCTACTGCGTTACGAGTGAAAACTCCTTCGATTTTTCCTTTCTCGTCGACCAGTACACCACCATCAAACTCCGCAGATTCTGTCACAACTCTTCGACTTAGGAACAGCTGCTTTTCTGAATCCCCAGATTTAACGTCGACCCATCGTCCGTTAATACAAGGAGCTAACACTGAAAAAAAAAATAGTTTATTTTATAAAATGAATGGAATAATATTTCATTATATATAATGTCTTGAATTTAATTTACCTAAAAGCGTGATAGTCGCTAACGTATGTATTAGCGACATTTTCCTTGACGTTTGCTACTGGTCGCGGTCTGAGAGCAACTGAAGGTTTTCCGCCTGAAACTGCCTCGTTTCATCACCTACGAGAGCTGTTATATTTTTTACTTAGAGTCGTGCCACACTGCGCTGAAAACAGACGCACGGTTGGTCGATAAATAAAACTGTTTAGATAATCATCATCAAATTGTAAAAATCTGCAATATAAGAGAAACTAACGAATAACTTTTAGTGGCAATTTTGAAACCTGTTATTTTGCATATTTAAATTTTTGGCGATGAATGTTATTTAACACGTGCACTGCGTAACAGGCCGATATCGGCCTGACGCGATACTAAAGCTGGTGCGGATGAAGAAAACTAGAACCCCCTGGCTAGTCCAAAAAATTATTTCAGGTGTATTCATTACATTACATAAAATGTATAAATTATGTTTCCACATTTATTACAGCAATTTAATCTATCTTAGTGCTGGTGGGTCTAGAAAGACCTGCCTCGCACTGGCGGAAATATCATTGGGAGCACATTTTGGCCTGCCGCCGCAAATGAAGAATTATGTTATCGCTTGCGGCAGTAAACGTGTTAAATTGGAAATTTAAATATTTATTTACATAAAACATCTATAAAGAATACACCTAATGTTACCCCACACTAATTTGCCAATGATATGGATAACATCTCCCTACTATTTAATATTTTCATAATCTCTAAAGCCCGACAGGTTATCGTTGGAACAAAGTATCGCGTGTTTAAATTGTTTTTGAAAGATATATATTTTTGGTATACAATAGGAAGATATGAGATACGTTATAACACTAGTCAAAACAGTAAACGTAGAAAATTGATAATAATTTAGTTAAATCATTTGTAAAAACAAAATACAAATATTCATTCGTATGTTTATGTCTGTACGTCTGATCTTGGGGACCTAATTAAAATTCGCAAGAAAGTCATCGACCAACTTGTATGAGATTTCTTCTCGAATTACGACTACTTTCCTATTTATAAATACTCGAAGACATTGTTTTAATATAAAAACCAAAAAAGAACAATTTGAAAATTACCTAACAAAAATTCTATTTACTAGTAAAATAGCTTCTTACCTTATCTAAATTGTAACTTTTTCCGTATATGTTTCCAATAATATGACAACAAAATCCGCTGACTTCGCACTAGCGTTACAATACAGTAAGCAAAAAAGTTTACGCCATTAAACAATTTAAGGAAACTTATCAACATTGTGTAGCTATGTCGCTTGTTGTACGAACAAGCGCGCTCGCGGGGAGATGAGACGAGTGTGGGCGGGTGCGTCGCATTTACACTAATTTACACAAATTATATGAGAGTATCTTAATACAAAATAATGACAAAGGTATGCTTGTTGATTTGACGGAATTTTGGAGCAAAATCCCGTGGCACTTCTAGTCTAATAAGCAACGCTCAGCTGCTATCAGGATATAGGGCTGTACATTGACAAATCTCAGTTAATTTAGACTCTATAATATTCTTAAAGAAATTATTTTATTAACATGTCGCATAATATTAATAAATAATTATAACGATTTTTTGATTTACATGATAAACTTTTTGGAATAGGTATGTGGGAATTTTCAATGCTAAACTGCACAATCTCTGGTAGACGTACCTTTTTTTCTAAAGCAGAAGTTGATGCCGACAGACATTCGACATTTTTCTAAAATAGATGCAAAGATAAATAAGCTTAGGTTTCATTACTGTTATCATTATCATGCGTTTACGAGTAGACGCAAGAAGCATTTTATGGCAGAATGTTAACGATAAAAACAGAAAAGATTGAGATTTTCTTACATACTAATCTTTTGGCACATATAAAAGTGTAACATATTTCGCAAGCTTTGAACAAAAACTCGAGGAACGTTATTAATTCTAGATGTTATAGCATAAACATTCGAAACAGTTAACTCGTAATAGTAAATTCTTTGAACATCAAGGAATTCTAAACAGAATCAGATTGTTTTGTCAACACACCCTAGTATGTGAATTTAACTTGAAGTCCTTATAAACTACAGTTAACTAATAGATGTTGAATTGAGATAAGTGAATAATAAAAGTGTTATTTTAGACAATGAAATAAATAATGTCATGTAACTATCTATCTAACTAATATACGAAACGTTTTGTCATACCAGTCAGTCTAAACTACGGCCTTGATTTGTACCAAGACCTTTACAACTCGTTTACATATCTTATGGCAGATGTTGCCATGAATCTGTTTGAGATCGCAACATATTTGTTGCATCCAAATAATGCTAAGTTGGGTAAGAAATTAGTTAACGGCCCCTCGAAATTGATTATTACTGTCAATCACGAATATTTACTCTGATTTCTGCTTCACTGCTTCAAGTTTTGCGCTAATACTAACTACTAAAGAATTATACAAATTATTTACCTTTGTTACTAGAGGATTAGAAATAGGTCTTGCCTTTACTTTCCAAGAAAACTCAACGACTGTGCACAATTTAAAAACAACCACATTCTTTCGTGACTAAAAACTGATTGAAAACAATTTTTAAACACGTTTTCTGCTTCTTATGTATTTTTTTTAAACTAAATATAACTCATTATTTATACTAAGTCTAGTATTATGTAGTAACTATTGTGTTTCTCTCTACGTTACTTTATTTAAAGTTATCAATGACAGGAAAACTAAATTGCAAAAATTGTAAAAACTCGTTCGTTGATATTTTTCTACTTTTACAAAAACGCTTAAGTAATGCTTCAAAAACCTGTTTTATTTTGATAATGTGCTAATCAACATTTATGCGAAAGACGTTGTGCCTTGATGACTACATTTAAATATCATTAAAAGTTCTCATTATTTTAAAGGATTTGAGGCATTCTGTTTTTACTTTATAACAATTACGTTAACTTAGTTTTAATTATTATTGTAATGTAGTGGTACTGAAAATTTAAAGTTGCGGTAACACTACTAACAATTATAAGGAAAAAACTAACAAGGTAAAATGGAAATTATCATTTTAATTTCCTCTCACGATTATAGAGCGAAAGATAAAATATTACATTTAATAATATTGAACGATAGTTCCATGGACAGTAAGAAGATGATGTTTTAATTATGCTCGACTCGTAAGTAGACGGCGACAGATAAAATCTTCTTGTCTTGTGCACAACATAGCTTTTATTGCAGTGGACTGATGCTACTGGAGGATACTAGGCAGAGTATAAATATGTATATTTAAAATACTAGCTTTCGTCCGCGACTAGGAATTCAAAAAACAAAAATAAATAGCCTATGTGTTCTTCCGGACTATCCTCTACATCTATGCCAAATTTCATCGAGATCGGTTCAGCAGTTTAGGTTACAAACTCTAGCAAACATCCATCCATCTAAAGTTTTGTATTTACTATATCAGTAAGATTAAACAGTACTGTTTAAATGAAAATGGAGATGGAAAACGCAATTAATTGCCACGAAGACAATCAGCTGGCGTTACGTAAGACGCTGGGCTGGACACGATAACACTGACCGTGAAAATAAAGCACGGCCGATTATGATCGCGTCAGTTTTCACGGCACTTTGTATGTCGTGGCAAAACAATTCAAGTCTCGTTTATAGTTTCCTTTGGTCACGAGGAAATACTTTTTGTGTGCGTCAAGGTCACGCAAAAATAACTCCCACGATTTTCATTCAACGATTATTCACTTTTAATTTTGTAGATTTCGAATTAAACACAACTTGCAAGGCTAAGCTTTTGGTAAGCGTCACTCATTTCTGAACATTAAACTGTTGGATTCTAAACATTAGCAAAGTATACATAATTACAAATTAATTATTTGTTATAATATAGTAACTACGTTTCAGTAAATTGACGAGTTTTTGCTAGGCAGATAGGGTGATATCGCCCAAGTTACTATGGAATGAACCATTTGTACCACGTATCTGCTTGCAGTAGTAAAATGTGTAACAGTATATAGATCTTGGCGTATTAAACTCAAGAAGTCAGTTCATAGTTGCAGTATTTTGTAATTACGGTACGGTGTCATTGTAACCATGGAAACTGACATCTCCGTAATACTGTTAATTTAGCCAGTCGTTACAAGTTTCAACATACGAGTAGATAAACAAGAATATGTATGTCATGTTTCGAGTTATCTTGTGTCCCAAAACAGGTAATCTTAGTATAATCTCAATTTTAACATTGAATTTTTATACGTTAAAGCAAGTCTAATAAATGTGATATACTTTTTTATTCTGTCTAAATGTTAGAACAAATTCTAAACGTCAGGTTAAGCATCTTTCATTCAAGTTTATGTAACAAATCTCAAAATAAGTAAATCAATCTGTGTGAATTTACCTCAATAATTAAAGGAACTCGCGATAGATATGATTTTGATGTATCAGTTGTTTTGTTATAAACAAGTTATCTCACGTTACTGACGGCAATGGGGGTTATCGACCGAGTTCATTTTTGAAGAAATTGAGATAGAAGACGTAATCTAAATAATCACGTTCAATTTGCCCCTATATAAGATGATGTAAGCATAATGATTTTTATTCCTGGTCTGATATCTTGTTTATGACTCGTCTGGGTCTTGGCAGTCGAGTAGTGAGACCCTAAGAGCGTGAGCACACCTAAAAACTAAACTATCGCACAACGGTTTAGTCCCGATTTGATTCCTATGAGTTTACATAGAGTTGCGCATACGACTCGATTTTTAGTTGTGTAAATAAACAGTTGAATTGGCTCCGAAACAAGCGACAATCGCACCCGTTGTGCTTGGTTTAGTCAAAGATGTGCGCCCACTCTTAATGTTAACACAAAATCAGGCCATTGTTAATTCTATTCATTAGGAATATCTGTATCCAAATATTAACAACTTAAATAAAAAAAATTACTAAGCTGTACAATATAACGTGCGTATTATAAAGTCATAATTAGGCTTATTATTCATTATCTTAATTACTGTATTAAAAAAATCTCTATATACAATAAAAATTGTCAACGAAGGAAAAATTTTAATGTTTAACACCCAACTTCTGTTTACTTTAGTACAACAATTACGATGTTTATGTTAGTTTTATAGGATTTAGTATTCCCAACAGTTATAATGAAATCAACAAATGAAACAATGCTTGCGAGTTCATACTGGATTTTATTATCGTACAATTCTCTTTACATTATAATAAAATTCATTTTCATACTACATAACCTGAGCGTCTCCTATGGTGGGGTTGTTGAGCTTTGATGCCTTATTCAAATGTCATTGATAGTTATTTACTAAAAAGATAATTATGACATTAAAGCACCCAACTCTCTGATACCCTGTTATTGGTAGTCAAAGTCTCTTGTTACTTATAAGTAAGTGTTCTTAAATAAAAATCAACTATAACATAATTTTCTATCTATATAATCTATTTAAGTTACTCCTTATGTTACACTTGTTTGAGCAATAAATTTCCTTTAGGTACTCCAACAAGTTCACCATCTTCATATATCAACTGTCCGCGAAGGTATGTCTTCTTCACAACTCCTTTTAACGTTTTTCCGATGTAAGGTGTTAGCTGAAACATAAAAGAAAATTTAAGATATGTACTATTAGTAGTGGAAAAGTAAACATGAAATAGATGAAATATGCTAACATGCTGCTTTCTTAAGTAAGAGATGTTTGTTTATAAGCAAACACATTCAATTGAGGCATTTTTAACTATTGAAACAAGAATATTAAATAAAGCCTGAATATCTTCATGAAATGGCAATAATCTAATCAATTTCTTTCCAACATTTAGTACTAACATCACTTTATATTTCAATAACTTTGTAAATCAGTAAGTTTTAGCTTCACTCAAACAGTTTTAGTCTTTATCTTGAATAGCCGACACCGTTATGCTTTAAAAAAAATCTTTCATACCATATAGCATAATGGAGACATTGACTAGGTAGTAAAAAAAACATTTGTAATGTTAATCACCTTGTTTTTGTGTCGTATAATGTCAGCGGTGACCGTGAATTGTGCGTCAGGGTCGAAGAAGATGAGATCTGCGTCGAGGCCTATTTTGAGGGCGCCCTTGCGATGCTGGATTCCGCAGAGTTGCGCCGGAGCAGAGCACATGTATTTACTGATCGAAGTCAGATCCAATCCACGTGCACTTGCCTCAGTCCAGAATAACGATAGACCTAGTTATATCATACTAGTTAATATTATAAATGCGAAAGTGGATGTTTGTTAAAGTTTGTAGCCTAAACGGCTGAACGGATTTGAATCAAATTTGGCATGAATGTAGAACGTTGTCTAGAAGAACACATAGGCTACTTAATTTCGTTTTTTTATAATACCACGCGGACGGAGTCGCGGGCGAAAGCTAGTAATTTAATAAAAAATATCAAATCTATGACCTCATAATCTACGTTAAAAGTTTCTGCTTAGAAAATAATTAATAATATCTTTTTATTTCATTACTTGTAAATAAAATAAAACTCGGATTACCAAACTGCACAGACGATATTCCTCCCCAAGCTTCTAAGTTATTAGAACACTTGAGTTCAGGAGTGCAAGGCGAGTGGTCAGATACCACCATATCCAGTTTGTCATCTAGCAAATATTGCCACAGTTTTTCCTAAAACAATGATCAAACAGTTAAATAATGTGATTGATTAAATATCATCAATATCATCATCAGCCTTTGTCTGCCCATTGCTGAGCATAGGCTCTGGGGAGAGACACTGGGGAGTGCCATCCAGAATGGTATGAAATAAACCATATATATACAGGTTTGCATAGTCAACGAAATGGCTGATAATTTATTTGTTTTAGTGCTAACTCTTTTTTTAAAGTCATATTTCTGATAAAATACCTTATTGTCCAAATCTCTGATAGGCGGTGCACATTTATATTCGCTACGGCCTCGTGGTATCTGTTCAGCGTTAAGAAATAAGTAATGGTGACAAGTCTCAGCGGTGACTCCGCCCCGCCAGGCTGTGTTGCCGGCTGCCACCCTCTGCTGCCGCGCTTTGTTCAGCAGAGGCACCACGCTCGCTGACGAGACATGCACCACGTGGACACGGACACTGGAAATAGTAACAAAATTTTGCGCAAAAGAATAAACAAATAAAATATATAACGTGGATTTAATTGCCTTTTTAATCCTTGATCCTACTTAAGAGTTATTTAAGACTAACTTAAAACGTTGCACTAAAAATTTGGCAAATAGGAATGAAGTTCATATATATTTTATTTATTTAGGTTAAATAACCTTTAACCACATTTTTCATCTATACAATAAAAATAATTTTACAAAATTAAACCCATTGATACTTACTCGGTTTTATCCAAGAAGCTTGAAATAAGTGATATTGCGTCTAATTCCATTTTTGGGGGTCGTGATTCTAAATATGTAGCATATTCCTCTGGGTCTGAAAACATTCAAGATGACATTTCATTACAACTTATTTAACCTTTCATAAGAATTTTTAAAGATAACATGTAAACGAATCGGGTACTAATTTAATGTAATGTATTCGATATCGAAATAATAAAATTGTATGTTTAATACAAAATTAGCGAAGTTCAAAAACAATCAAGAGTGCTCCGTATTAAGACAGAACCTAAATCTTCTTTTTTATCAATCGAATACCTTTTTTTAGGATTTTGTTGTCGGTCTCTTCATTATCTTCTTGTACCTCCGCATGGAACTGTCGAATTGAATAAAAAAGAACTCCAATTAAATAAAGTCCACACACAATCTCATTTAATGTTAACATACATCAAAAATAAATTAATCAAATATTTAACTATTTTACCGCCAACAATGATCCAGTACCCTCGAGAGCTGCAAATGCTTTCTCCAGGTCTTCAGCTTCCACGTTAGGGAACTCATCAACTCCACTGGGGCAGAGGAAACACTTGAAACCTACAACACCTGCCTTCACTAAGTCCTTGAGAGAATCCTAAAAATATGTCAAAACATTTTTTTAGATCTTGGAAATTTAAAAAACGTAAAAAACCTTGAAAAGGTGCAAAGTAATCTTTTTGTGATATTGCGAAATTACTTTTTAATCTGATAAATTAATATCCACAAACTAAATTAGATCAGAACAAGGACATTCGTTGCTTAAAGCGAGGAAATCGAATGATCGATTGAATCGCCAATCGATTTTAAAGCGCTTACCTGATTGCCGACGATCACACCGCCCCAGAATCCAACGTCTACAAAAACATTGCCTTGCGCCGAAGAAGCTTTTATTTTAAGATTCTCTACAGTAGTTGTGGGTGGAATTGAGTTCCTAAAAAGGTTTCCAGTGGTTAAATTAAACGTAGTTTTGGTAATGTTTACTTTGTCTCAGACTTATAACTTGACTTAAACATACAAACAAAAATACTTATGAGAAAAAGTTAAATTATTTTTATCTCATGTCTCTCATGGATATCTCTCCAGCTAGGATGCAAAACTAGATTCTTTGGCAAAATACTATAAGGAATGTTTACGTTTTCTGCACTCTCTTTTTCTAATTTTAGTCTAAAGTACTAACAAAGGCATATCAACGATGGTAGTTATGCCTCCAGCGGCGGCTGCACTGGTGGCGGTGCGGAACCCCTCCCAAGCGGTGCGGCCGGGCTCATTGACGTGCACATGTGAGTCTACCACGCCAGCCATCAACGCCAGATCACCACCATCCACAACCTATAACACAATAGTTATCTCAATTTCAAAAACTCTTGTTCTTTTATGGAAAAATCGGAGATATGTAGTGTATGGCCACACTGTTGTCTACTGTCATGTCGTCATACCAGCACGGCAGTCATATCCGAGCCATCGACTGGAGTGGACGTTACAAGCATACAGTACAAATACAAATTGAATCGTTAGATTTTGCGCTTATAAAGATATTGCTTCTTCATGTCTCAATCAGTCTTAAAATTGTTACTAAAGAAATACAAATACAATGTTCAAGTTTAATATGTAATGTGTTGTTTCCTTTTATATTTGCACAGTAATATCATAATTATGAGACAAAGACCCATAAAAATGAATATTAATATGAATCAAGAAGTTCTGGAAATAGCCGTGTATTCTTTTTTGTTTTCGAGTTTTGTCTGTTAGTTTTTATTTATTTTTCAATGTCTCGTGTTTAATATTATCTTTGCCTTATATCTCAACAATTCGTTTTCTTTTGTGTTATTGACGTGAATAACATAAAAACTCGCACTTAAAGTAGCTATAGTAGCTCTAAGTGCCAAGATAACATTTTCAAAAGACGTTGAAAAATTATTGGCGAAAGGAAATGTTTCTAGTTTACATCCTTCAATTTGCGCAACTAAATTAATAAAACGAATCGTATTAGGATGCGGAAGTTGAAAGGTAAGCTTTTAAAATACTTAATTACACGATTTTCTTCAATAATTTGTCTTAACTATTCAAAAGAATTAACAAAGTAAAGACAGTCCAATAGTTTGTATTGGTACATGAAATTGTTTATCTGTAATAGTTTCTCTCCTTCTTCAGATGTCATCTGCTATCAGCGGCGCAACCATTGTTTTTCTCAATTATTTGTCTTACCGTACCACTTTTTGCTTTTTGTATACAATTTACACAGTGGTGATACGCAACCCACATATCAGCATATACATGTATATGTCCAACGGCTACCATTGTTCAATACGTTCTTTACATATGCATACAGACGAGTATAATATGTTCATTATACACACGTTATTAACCGGCGCGACGTCCGCCAGTATAAATGAATAAGGCCTGAGGCACACATCCACCAAAGCCAATCCAAACCGAAGCGAACCTAAGTTTGGGGATAAGAAACTGCCATTGAATTATTGCTCACCGAACTCTTTACAACATAATATATGCGCGAAACCAAATCTTTCATATAAAGAAAACTCTGCGTATTTTTATGTTTCAGTGGTGTAAAGCAATGCTTCGCGCCTGTTCCAATTCGCTTTCGCAGCTGTGTGCTACGGGCATAATCGTACAAATTCCCTCATTTAGCCGACCAAGCCAATCGAGCGAGACAGCTGCGTCAAAATAAACTACAAAATGTTTTTATACTCTTTGTAAATATTTTTATAATATAAAGGTCATTGTTAATACCTAAATGATTCGACATCCATAAAAGTGTTATAAGATTGTATTGCGGCGATCCATTAAAGCAATTTGGGGGTAATTAAATTTTATAATATTAGTATTGCTTGAAAATTAAGGTGATTAATAGCTACGGCTTAAACACGATCGAGTAATTAATAACATAAAAGTGAACATTTTAATTAAAACAGTCGTTTACTTTAATATCTTCATTTTCTGCGATAAATGTATTCGCTTGGTGTCTGGTTAGTATATCTTGTATTTGGCCGTTGTCGACGAGCACTCCACCATCTGCCACTCCCGCTGCGGTGACGACTCGTTTGCTCAAAAATAACTGGCGACCGGTTGATGCCATCTCACTCGCGCTTGCACACAACTACACCAACTGGAGTGTCGGACACAACTACCAACGTAGCAACGCGACCGCCTGATAACGTTCTGTGCCACTCGTATTGATCTCGAATGGATACACTTGCGATTAACTTACCAATACAAATAAAATTAATTCATCTGTCTGTTACACGACATTCTATCTACTAATTTGAACATACTTTAACTAGGCGTCTTAACATCCAGCTCGTACAAGAGCCGGATTAAGGAGAAACAATTTTTCAATCTATGAATAAATCAACACAATCAGATAGTCCTGAATGATATGACAAACAGAAAGCTAGTGCACGAGATGAGCAAAGTAGATACTAATATCTGGCCTAAGTGAAAGACTCCATTAGACTTGAAAAAAAAGAAGGACAGTAGTAAAGTTTGTATAAGACCATGTATTACCCAATACCTAAACAATTTCCTAAAGATGATAAACAATTAAAAGTAATAAAATGCAAAACGACTTCGAATTAATTGCTTATAAAGTCCTGATCCTTTTTACACGGAGTGCCTAGTAAACTCGACAACGAGGGGATAATGGTTAATGAAAAAAAAAAATTGGATTATGAAAATAAGTTTATTTTTTCAAAAATTGCCTACTTAAACTGGCGCTAAAGCTTTATTTTAATATGTGTATCCATTTTTTGAAAGATTCTATGAGTTGGAATGTTGATTGATAAATTGTGATGCTTCTCACAGGCGACGCGTTGCCATTTCTTTTATTCATTATAAAGCTCAATTTAATGTATTGAGACAATAAATAGACAACTATAGGGCTGCCAGACGTCTTTATCCGCATTTGTTTAACTACAAAAACAATCATATCTCTAATATGTAGTTAAAAATAAAACGGTTAATATCAGACACAATAATATTATAGATAGAAGGAAAGTACATCCATAGACATCTACAAGAATTATTAAAATTAAAAAAGAAACAAGTGAATCGTGAAAAAATATATTGTCTACTATGAGATTGACATATATTAAACACGTGAACTAATACAAGATAAGTTTATCTGAGATTTTTATCAGTAACTAGACTTTCTATCCGTGTCCAAATATCTAAAGTGTTTGTCTAATTCTCTTCAGGAAAAGAATTTCAGTTATTTTACTGAATGATAACCATTGTTTGAAAAACAAGATAGAATAAAATCTACCGCAGATGCTGTGGCTTTACTGTTTTCGCACCATACTGGAATATCTGCAAGAGAGGTGTAGTAACCATACTTGTCTGAGATCAAGTGTGTAACATCGTTAGCAACCAACTTTTATACCTTTTATAATCTACATAGGTCAATAAAATTTAGTGGGATCCGTATCAATGGATAACTAATAAGTTATTTTGCAAATGTAGCCCACATTAATAAGTATCTGTGCTTAATTCCCGTAGAAACTAACACCGTAAAACACCGTAAGAAAAATAATAGCAACGAAAATTTCAAGGAAGACATGGTAAAATTATGAAGCGCCTGATAATTTTGTGCCAACAATTCGCTTTTATGTGAAACCATCATATTTTTTATAAACCTCTGACTTTTTTTATTCCTATTGTGATCGGCAAAGATGCATACTTAGTGTATACATTTACCCAATCATCCCAAATGTAATAAAAATGTCTCATTACCTTTGGGATGTAATGTGTTTGATTTATTACTTTTTTTCGATAAGTGTATTTGAAAAATATTAATAAAAGTTTCACGATGTAAAGGTGTAATGGATTTAAAAGCCATCTTATTTAAAATACATGCAATTATTTGACCAAATTATTTCCTTTTCTTAAGGACCATTTTTTATAAGGACCCTCATTAAATAGGTGTGTTAGCTATGGATCAGTGAAGTTTGTATTGAATTACGTTTTTAAATAACAGCCCAAAGCTTGTCGTGGGCGACATATATAGCATACCGATATGCAGTAGAACCACAGAAAATAAGACGATATTTTATAGAGGCTAAAAAATAAGCACATGACTGAAATCTTCTAAATGCAAATCATATTATGCACAATTTCATCTCCGTTTTACGATGCAAGTCTTTTGAAAAGCTATGAAAAGTCTTTAAAAAGCTGATATAGAAAAAATATTTTAACTAATGAAAATAGTGACGCTATAATCTCTTACTCTGTGTATAAGTTGACGAATCGCCTAATAAATGCCAATGTTTCACCTTGAACTTTGCTTTGAACACGCTGGATGCCTCTGGTCGATACCCCCTACACTACAAACAAGCAGGCAGATCTCAGAAGACCTAGTTGAAGTAAACACATACAGACCGGTTCGTAACTTGGACGTCCTCGAAGGGTCGAAGCCTAGTGCTACCTTCAACTTGAACCAATTACAATGAACTTGCAGACCCTACGTCCTTTGCGCAGGAAGTACGTTCAATTGCTAAAAAAAGAATGTTACTTCTTTCGGATAAGGGTTTAATACTGCAAGTATACTGTCTTACTATAGAAGAATTTATTATGTGATGAACAAGAAAAGTAAATTATTACAGTTGGTTCTATTTCTTGAGTTTTTTTTTATTCTCAGTCATTTTGGTTTTAGGAATCGATCTGTTGGCAGATAAGTTTATGTTTTCGTTGATATTATTTTGTAAAAGTTATCGGGGTATCATTTATTCGTCCTTAAAACGGGTTGAGAAGTTTTGTCGGTTGACTGTATGACAAATATATCGCCGAACACATTATATTTGCGTGTGTACCTGCTTTGTGTCAACTTTCCAAGAATTATGACTCTAAAAAACAATAACGATTAATCAGAAGTTTAAAGAGCTAAGATTATTAACTCTGATAGCACGTTTTTATGATTATATAAAAAAAAGTTATCAAATCCACCTGTACCGGGTCAAATGCTATCTCTATTCCATTGGGATATAATTAGTCAATGATGACATGTTTCTCCTTATATCGTTGGGATCCCTTCTAGATATTTACCTATCATACTTTATACTAATACTTAATATAAAAAATTGGAAAATTTAGATGGATGGATGAATGTTTGTTAGAGTTTGTAGCCTAAACGGGTGAACGGATTTCGATACAATTTGGCATAGATGTAGGGAATAGTCAGGAAGAACACATAGGCTAATTGCATTTGTTTTACTTAGTTCCGCGTTTTATAAAATTGTTAAAGTGTACATCATTGTCACTTCGTATATTAGGTACTAGTAAAGAATTTGAGTCTACTAAAATTGGATATAAGATCTCCTATCAACCCTAAAAACATATATCAATAAGTTTTAACTAACCCAGTAGACCTAAATTGTCCGTATGACCAGAACTGAACGCTCCGCGACGCAGTAGGCTTAAGGCCAGTTGTCTTCATAGAGTAGACTATCCATTGTTTTCGATAACATGACCTATTAAAACAGGTCCCTGTCGGAATGCAAGAATTCTATGGATACTAGGACATTACTGACTCATTGCGCACTTACACGAAGTACAAGATGTTTACGTTAAAATAACAATTTGATTACACTCTAGGTTTTAATACATTTTATTATTTGTAATTGTCATTTTTAGTTACCTGTAAACGTGATAGAAATCGTAGAGTATAACAACTTTTTAAAAATGTTACTACTTAGAATAGAGAATTTAATAGATTTGAGGTTATGTGATTTTTGACTGTCAAAAGATACCGAAGTAGGGAAATACTTGAGGAAGTAAATCTTTCAACATTTTACCCCGTAAATTATTTCATTTAATATAAGTAATCCTATTCCATGAATTATTTTCGTTGTAACAAATAAACATTTCTTATTATGACACAAAACGTTTTTTTTTTTAGAATAAATTTATTTCATCGGACGCGTATTAAATATTCAAAATGTCTGTTTTTCGGCTACAATTTTACCGTTTTAACATTTCACAAAAACTGGAATACATGATGTATTGTTAGGTTATTCTCTACTGAATGTAGTGTATATATGTTCTTCATAACACTGATGTCATTTAACTTTAAAGAAAATGCAATTAGTTAACTAAAATTTAAAATACCCTACCACTACTTTGACCGACTTCCCAAAAGAAGGAGGTATTCAATTCGACGATGTGTTTTTTTTTATTTTTTTTTATGTGTGTTACGGCATAACTCCGCCGCTAGTGGACCGATTTGGATAATTATTTTTTTATCCGAAAGGTAATGCTTGCAGGTGGGTCCCATTTTTTTGTTTAATTTTTGGAGTCTAAGACTACGACGTAGTTAAATAGTTTAGCTCAAAATCGCGCGACGAAATTTCGGGTCATTTTTGCTTTTTTTGCTTACGTAGCCTAAACTATAAGACTTACATAAAAATGATGTATGGAAGAATTGTAGGCCATTAAATTTGCTAAATAAAAGTCCGCGACAGCATATATCTATCTATTAAGGTTGTCGCACAATAACCACTTTTTTCATTAAAATATCGCTCGAGATCTACACCCAACTTTCAACGCTATTACTCGTGTTGGGTATGAATCCTTATCCAAATAAATGTGTCCATCATCAAGAGAATTTAATGTAGATTATAAATGCCCTTGGAACTATATAATTCCGATGAATAGTTTAGGAGATATCATAAATTGCAAATTACGAGTCGCAGAAAAAAATACCAACTTGTAACAAAGTTTTCTTTCTTGGCTTACGTAGCCTAAACTATAAGATCTACAAAAAAAGGATGTATGAAAGAATTGTAGCTCATTTAATAAGCTATATAAAAGTCCGCGATAGCATATATCTATCTCTTAAGGTTGTCGCACAATAACCGTTTGTTTCGCCGTCAAATAAATGCAATCGACTTCCTTAAAACGCTTTTATTCTTATTTCGTATGAATCCTTATCCAAATAAATATGTTTTCACGATAGAGTATTAAATGTAGATCACAATTGCCTTTTACAGTATGTAATTCTGACAAAGATTCTAGAAGTTATCAAAATATTAAAACTCACGGGCAACAGCGGCGCGCGGCTGGACAGAATTATGAGTGAATGATCGCAACGATGTATTAGATCTTTACTTAATTTCTTATATAATCTATTTTTGTAAAAACAAATGTGCAAATGCACTAAAAATTGGCTAACTTAGAAAAACTTTCGACACTAATTAGAAAATGTCACAAGTTCAAAACTGGTCATGAGGTCAAATATTCGTCAGCAACACACAAATGCAAATGACCGATCCACTTTTAAACTTTCATCCAGAAACATTTACGCATAACCATAGACAATAATCCATCTATGGTTTTGAGACGTATTCAGATGTCGCCCCGTGTCTAGGCCAGATGCTAAATCTGCAGGTCAAGTCCAAAACAAGGGCATTACCAATTTCAGGGTCCACTTATGAGTACAGTTAGTCAACGACAGGGACGGTGATACGACAAACAATGCGTGACATTGGCGGTAAGAAAGGAAGGTACGTTTCTTGCATAGTAAACAGTGTCTCGTGCCTTCTGCGGAACCACGTACTGGGTAAGAGTGGTCTACTTCAACACATTCATACTTCAAAACTGAACGGCAACAGTTAAACACGATATGTCTGTTGCAGTTGTATTCTGTGTTTATCTATGACAGTCAATGTAGTGCCATCTTTACATAGTTTTAACGTGTGATTATTTAAGTGCAAATTTCGACATTAACGTAAGTAAAAATGCAATCAGACTTGTTTTTAATTATTGGCGATAATCGAACGTAATATGAATTGGTCTTATAGTCATAATCATCAACCCATGATTGTTTGACATTAATATTTTTTGTTGGTCACTTTTTTGTTTTAAAGAATTATTTGAAGATCTTAAGCGTGATTGTATTCTGAACTTTAATAACATTACGTTTATTTTAAAATTGAAGCTCTGAAATTGGGTTAGTTAGAGTAACAAAGTAACTCACCTAGAAATTGAAACATTTAATCCATTTACTTATTAGACATGTTTACAAAAAGAAGAGTGTTGTAAAGTCATGTAAAGCGATAAAAACATTGTTCTAGGAATATTGACAAAACACCAATGTCGACTCACCCACACTTTTTGGTTGTCGCGTTCACCTTTAACGAATCGTGTTACTTTGTATTAAGTATAATAAATTATAGCTCGCACTAAATATGTCATTGTTTCTATGCAAATCATAAATATCATCTCAGATAACTATATTTAATATTCATTGACTAAATGTTGCTTCTCATCTAACGCTTTTTGTGCCCTGTTTTCGACGTCTGTAGCGAGCATTACAGTAATAGTTTTTAGATTGAAGAAGAACATAATTGTTACAATAATTCGATACTAATCTATTTTATTGCAAGAAACAAATGCCACTTCTTAATAAGCATAGCTAGACTCGTAAAGCGCAGTCATAAAATGCACTCAGATTTTAGATACTAATTTCTTCCTACTTTATTTTATTTTTTCATCATGTAATGAATAAATTTTAATAGCACACAAATGTATTATTAAAAAACGAATAAGATTTGATTGACTGATGCCTGCATCGATTTAAATTGTACCTTTACATATGTATCTTTAGGTGCATTTGGTTCCTTCCATAAAAAGTGGTCTCTGGCATTTACTAACGCTTGTCGTACTGCATTTTTGACCTTTCGAAGTAAAAGTTGTCTGAAACAACTAAATATATTATTAAATAGATTTAGCCTATTTTTACACATTATTTTGTTAATTGATACATATTTTTTTCAACGTTTGCTTTTCTTGCTTACCGCAGACTCAGTATAAACATCACTCTACATTTTTTTATTTTATTATTATTGGGAGTACTACAATGAATTACAGGTTAAAATACTAAATAACTTAACTTTATTGAAATACAATATTGATTTTAAGATTGCAGCTTTGAGTGTGTTAACGACAAGTCGTTGGTGCCACTGGATTTTACCTTGTATAATTTGTTTATTAGATTATATTATAGACATATTAAAATAATCTATGTACCTATTATGTCTATAGTTGAATTAATCAAAATAATATACAAAATAAGACAAAGCAATATAACCGGATATAGTATTCTGCATCCTTTCATCGTTACGACAAAAATGAATTGCATCCCTCCCGGATATGACTAAGAAAATCATAGTTGCGTCTAGCGGTCAGAATTAGGCTCCCTTTATTACGATGTTGACCTTATCCAACTGGTATCAGTATAAGAAAATAAAAAAGCTAGAATTATGTTAGATAATAAACGTAAGAAAAACGACAAAGAAAATAAAGGCAATAAAATGCTCATTCAAAAGTTTTGAACTTACTACTTGACGCATTTCAAGTACCTGTTACGAAGTTTTCAGAGAATCAGTTAAAATATTTTCAAAATATCCTTATTGCTGATAATCAAAACGCATACAATATAAAGATTTTTTAAAGTGTTTACCAGATAATAGCAAAAGATGATAAAACTCGATGAATAAATTTACAAATGTGTTAAAACTATACATCTTGCGGATAACGTATATTGACTCGACCACAAATTAATTTATTAACTCAAGGGCCCCTTCGGTCTAGCGGTTAGAGTGGTTGCTTTAAGGCTGTAATACATCGAGAGTTCATTTCGAGATATGTAAATGAGTACAACAACCATTAATGTTAAATTTTACTACATTATTACCTTTGAAACTGTAAAGTTTTTAATTTAAAATCCTTTTATCAAAAACGAAATCGATAATAATAAAATTTAAACGAAAAATTGCAGACAGGTATGGCTAAAATCGATTAGGACACCTGCTAATATCTGACTATATTGTACTCGAGGGATAGACCTGGCCCCGAATTCGGATGGTACATGACACCTGGTATATGGCACACATGGTACATGGTACATGACACACACTCGCAGGAGCCGCGAGGCCCGATGACACCGAGGTATTAACACCGGGAGGCGCGAGCGCTTCCCGCTCAGTCGCACGCCAAACACGACCGGCGCAAGCGCAGCCGTCGCACGCACGATATCTCTTCTACGTACGACGCACTGCATTCCGTGCTTATTTTTTTATTTATTTATAGGTAATGTTTTTAAATTCCCGTCTTTGTTTTTTCCACAATACTTAAAATAACAAAACATTTTTGACTTTGGTCCGAAAAGGAAATTTAAATTCATTGTGTAATTTTTTTTTATTTTCGATTTCAGATATAAATATTATTTTGCGGTGCGAGTATCACAGGAGAGTTCCCCGTAATGGGGCAAAACTTAATTTTACAGGTGAGCAATTTTTATTTATTCAGATTTTCCTATATTTAGATAACAATAACAAGCAGCGGAAAAATTTTAGAAAAAAAAAACTGTAATTACCCAATGACCATAAATTGTTGAATCTAAATAATCAAAATGCAAGAGCATTTCAATTGAATTTAAATATCAGTGTAACGTAAACAACAGCCGAATACAATTAATTAGCAAGTGTATAAGACTGGCAACCTTTAAAAGAACTATTCGGTGTTTTTCAAAATTAAAAATGTAACTACACGGTCTACTATTAGATTTGACTTTATCCTAAACTTCACTAAACAAAAAAAAACAAAAGAGGTATGTGTTGTTTTTATTTTGTTCGATATCGAAAAATCTATATTAGAATAAGTGTCATTTTTATTGGGAATTCATTACAAAGTTTTACAACAGCCAATTTATTGTCAATGCATTTTTATTTATAGCCTGTTGGCTCATTTCTGATGCATAACATTTTTATGGTGCAGTAAAGTCGGACAAGGAAACCCAAACTTTATTTTGGGCCATTAGGTCTCTTGTTGACGCCTCCACAATGCACCTGATATTTAGTAAACATATAACAAAATGCCAATGAAAATGTCAATTTTTTTTTATAATTAAGTTTATGGCATTCAAATTAAAAACGTAATTTGTATTTTCGTGTTGTTATTGTTGATGTTAAGTTCAATACGTGTTTTTGCGATGTATCATAAAACATTAAAATGGTGTGAAATCAATAACTAGGCAATTTAAAAAAATATATCCGCTTGCAAAATGCATTCTAAAGACCGATTGCCGTATTAATATTAGTTAGATATTACCTGAAAGTGGAAACAAGATACATAAAACACTATGAGAGTTATTGTATGCAACACACGCGCTGGAGAAGGACGTTCGGAACATCGTACCCCTGGCCTTACTAAGTACAAATTAACAATGTCACATGGAATACATTTTCGTTCGAATGCATTCCTTAAAAACAAAACATTAACCTGTTCTTCGACTTTGAGACGAGACTATATTAACCCTCAGTAAATAAAGTCTTGTTTATTTTTAGGTCCCCAAAATGTAAAGCTAAATTATGACTAATCTTCAATACCCAATTAGTTAAAAGCATTGACTGTGTTTGTTTTCTTTTTATCTTATAAAGGGCTCAATAATGTAGTATCTGGCAAGGGTTTGAGGAAAATTAAAGTGTTCAACTTAAGTCCTAATCGTTGGCGAAATGTCAAATGCAAATAGGTCCACAGTGGTCGATGACGACGTTCCCTAGCGTCTACCTGCCGCAGATGTCTGTATGCAAATTGTCTTGTTTTTCGATTCACACGAGTCAATGTACTAGCGGCCGTTTAAAAGTAATTTATTAAATCAAAACCGGAGCATTTATGTTTCTCTAAAGAGATTCAATAAAAAATTAGCCGCAATTTTAGATTGTAGAAACTGGCTTTTATTTATAATCAAACCATCAAATTTATGATAGTTGCTAATCGTTTCATTAGACAGTTATTTCAAAGTTCGTTGACGCAAATTAATCACAATAATAATTCGCTTGGATGCTTAATTGCGAAGAAATTAACAAGCAGTACGGGATTATAATAATAATAACCTCACAATTTTTTACTTTTTTAATTTTGTCAGCTTGTTTTATTTTCATTAACAAGATAGTTAAATAATAATTATTTCAATTTATTAAAAATACTAGTATTCGCCCGCGTGGAATTAAAAAAAAAACTAAGTAGTGTATGTTTTATTCCAGACTATCCTCTATATTTATGCCAAATTTCGTCAGTTTAGGCTACAAAGTCTAATAAACATCCATCCATCCATCTAAACTTTCACATTTATAATATTAGTATGATTACAAAAGAATCTTATGTTTTACGGCAGTTGTTTGCTTTATTAAACATCTATATGTTATACAGAGAAACATGAAGTATTCTTTACATACCAGAGAAATATGAACACAATGCACTAGACAAACATATAATAGAAAAAGCAGTAAACGAGAGAACGCAAAGAAAATTCTTAATGTAACACTACAATAGATGTTATGTAAAACATTAAAATAGTAAAAACAGGAACAGAAAACGGGTAATTCGGATAGAAATTTTGCATAATTCTTATGTCACTGACCACCGAAAATTGCTTGTCGGTCAATGACATGATAGAAATGGAAATAAATATAAATTTTGTTGAACTTGACTAAATTCTTGGTAGATGTTGAATTCGTCAGGTTATGTAAATGATGTAAAGATGTAGTGTGGTCGATGTATTGTAGAGTTGATCGATAGGTCAGCGACCGTCGCCTACGCCCCGTGCTTAAACACGGTATGTCACACGGCTAACACGGCCAAACACAACAGCATTCTTTCCTAACCATCTATTTGGTAAAACTAACGCGAATTTCGCTTTACTGCAATTGGCACAAGCCATGGGTGTTCACTGCCATTATATCTGTACAATAACATTATAAGGCAAAAAAGCGTTTTCTGTTGAAGACGTAGGGTCTTAGAGGAAGGTAGCTTCCTTGTAATGTTATGAATAATTGAGTTATAAAAACTGTCATCGATAATAAACACGACCGAAGCAGTAGCTAACTAACTGAATGTTTCTGATTTTGTAATCAGTTCTAGTTTATTGCAATATGTATGTAGGTAACACATGCTACGTTCATCATCAATAAATGTTAGCCAGGTCAAAATAATATATGTCAATTGCAAGAGCAAATAAAATAGCGTAGTAAAAAGGTTTATAAAACCAACAGAACATTAAAAAATCACACAAAAAAACTGCGAAGAAACTAATAAATTTTGTCGTAAAAATATATTTAAATCTATGTTTATTGAATTATGACTCCGAAGTTTGAAAATGATTTTAAAATTCTAATAATTTGTTTTGCCAACAGTCCTTTTGGATTTTTATCCAAAGAAACATTATGATCAATAACCTCTTAAGTGTTTTATTTGTGTTGAATTTGTTGATATAAAAATGCTTCAACACTTGCTTATATTAAAATGTTTTAAATACAAAGCTAATGCCTAGAAAGAATAACATTACAATTAGGTTTTTGACACACGTCCAACGGTTTCAAACCGCAAGTTTAATTTCAACGCCTTTTAGAGTACTTACTCATTCTATTGACAAAGTAACACAAAGCTTTTTTTGCACGAGGTCAGTAATCTCTGAATCTTTGTTCGATAAACTGTTTATTTATGAGAAACACGATTGCCGAGAATAATTAACAACGTCTGAAGCTTGTTCTTTTAAGATATAAGTGCTAATAAAAATGTTAATGTGTGAAATAACTGTAATAATCTATTTTACCAGTTTGCTGTGAGCGTACTGCTGATCAGCGGGACTGTGTCCTCTCCCCGTCAAGAGAGTGAGTCCTTCTATCGCGGCGCAGTGGAAACGATACCAAAACATGACCCATTACCGCAACCCATACGAGCATCAGTCGAGAGTGTTCCTCTGAGGTAAATTTCAAAAACATTATTTTTTATCTTACTTTTATAAATATCTGAGAATTTTTCAAATTCAGGTTTTAGACACAGGAAAATTTAAATGATTTAATCATTTACATAAGTAACTGTAACAAATCTCAATTTTCGGTTAGTTTTATTTTTCCTATTGTGTTTGCTATAAAGTATATTTTTACGTACATACATTTATCTACTTTGTTTCATTTGAAAACATTATTTTAAAGACATTTCTTTCAATACTCGGAAAGACTGGATAGCGTACGTAGTATTGTGTAATGTCAGAACAATAAAGCGACGCAATACTGACAGAAGAATAAATTGTCCAGAGCCTATCGGTGTTATTATTTTCTACACAGACACCTTTCCCATTTCCTAGAAAATAGATTCACGCATTACAATAAAATATTGCAGAGGCTATAAATTGATTCATTATTAAATGTTAAGTCGACAAGTATTTTGTCTGAAAATAGTTTTATCTTTTTAACATCGATTTTTTTTCATATACCCTTTTTTTTTCTATGTAATACTGTGATGTGGATGATGACATAAATATTATTCTTTAAGAAATCGACGAGATGAAGGCTACATGCGGCTACCGTTGAGAGATGCAGTTGAAAAACGACCTATTCCAGTCATCGATCCTCTATTCTTAGCCAAAGCTATCGAGGTATGTTTCTAACTATGGCAGTACTTACTGATGCACTGGTATACCGTTATTCATTAAACATTCATTTAAATTATTTATTTCACAGAGTAGTGACGAATTAATGGATGGTTTATCAAGTTTAGAAGAAATTAACAAATATTACGGGGCCGCGAACTATTTGAATAAGTAAGTATTAACACAAATGTTTTGCAACGTAGAGTTCAAAATAGGTGATAAAAAATTCAACGTCTTATGATTTAAGAGCTAATTGTGACTTAATAACGCTAAGCTCTCTTGTCGATTATTGCAGTGGTTCCCGTACGGATGAGAGACTGCAGCAGGGAAACGCTAATCTTCAAGGTAAAAACTTTTACTCTCTCAATAGATTAAAAAAATTACTTAAATCGGTAGTATTTTATTCTATTATTATTTTTTACTTAAACGCTTGTATAATTTGTCATATGCAGAGATGCAACAGACAGACGGAGGGCCGATGGCACGTCGGATAGTGGTATGTTATTTCGAGTCGTGGGCGGCGTACCGTGCACCTCCGCTGGCGTATACAGCGGGCCTCATGCCCCGCTCCTGCACACACCTGCATTACGCCTTCGCAGTCTTACATCCTCACACGTACGCTGTAATACCCGCTAATGAAGATTATGATATTATCAAAGGTAAAGTACTTAAATCGACAGTAACGGCAATCGGTAAATTCAATCTTTTGTCTCTATCATCAATCAATTAAATATTTTTTTTTAAACTCAGGTGGCTACCGCATCGCAACTGGCCTGAAACGTCGGTTCCCAAGTCTCCGAGTGCTGATTAGTATCGGCGGTGAAGGCACCGGTCGATTGTTCAGCGAAATGGTACAGGAGCCCTACAGAAGAAACGCATTTGTCGACAGTGCACTCGCTTTCTTGCTAGACAACGATTTTGATGGAATCGATCTGCACTGGATTTACTCTGGTATGAATAATTTCAACCAAAATACTTATTTAATAAAAGTAATATACCAAATAATGGGTCACATTTTTAGGAGACAGGGATGAAAAGGAGAAGGAACTATTAACATCCCTACTTTACGAGCTTCGTGAAAAACTATCGCCGTATGGATATCTTCTTTCTACTGTCTTACCGCCATTCAGGTAAAAACGATCAACTTATATCTTTAATCTGGCAAGGATATATCCGGACCAGAAACACAGTTTTTGTTTTGCCATTAAACCAATTAAGCTTAATAAACTCTCAATAACTTAAGCATCTTGATTGAAATATGTAAAATTGAAGATAAAACTTATAGTCATAACTGTAAATTGTAGATATCAAATAGAGGATGGTTACGACCTGGGCGCAGTGAGCGGCGCGACAGACTACACGATCCTGCAAGCATGGGACATGACTCACGGGAGAAGGGACGAGCCGCCGTCGAGGGCCGTGCAGCACAGCGCGCTGCACAGGGACCCCGGAGCCTCCTCCAGGGATCAGAGATACGATAATATTGTAAGAAAGAAACGTACTGCAGATACTAATCATTGAACAAAGAATATACTGCCCTTTTCGCATTTACTTTGTGTCTACTTAAATTGTCGGCCAATTCACTTTACCAATTTTTGATTGTAGGAATTCATGGTGAAATATATTTTACGTCATGGAATGGCAGCTGATAAGTTAGTACTGGGCATACCCTTGTTCGGTCGCAGCTACACTTTGTCTGAAACATCTGTGACGTCGCCCGGCGCGGGCATCAGCGGCTGGGGAGAAGAAGGAACTTACACACAAACTAAAGGAATGCTCGCATACTTTGAGGTAGGACCTAAACTTTGTATCCCATTTTTTGTTTTGAAATTCATTTCTAGCAAGTTAAAATGTGTAATTGTTTTTTATATATTTTTTTAGATCTGCATGGCGGAACGTGAAGGAAAAGGAGAAAGTGTTTTAGACGATGCTGGTAATTCATACGCAGTGTTTGGTAATCAGTGGATCACATACGATACACCCGATACAATACTTGAAAAGGTAAAATAAACTGTTCTTTACTTATATTTTTAACTACAAACCAAGGTCTAGACTAAGCTATAGTATATTGCATGATTTGTTTTACGTTTTAGATGAAATTCGTGATAAGTATGGGCTTAGCTGGTGCAGCCGCGTGGGCGATAGATATGGACGATTTTCGAGGACTCTGCGGATCACCTTACCCTATCTTGAGCGCTATTTCGACAACATTAAATGGTAAAGAAGATACATACTATAAATTTTACAAAAGCTATTCAAATGTATATTGCGTGACTTTTCACTATCTGAACACCGGTTTATAAGAATAATGTTACTATGTTTTTGTACAATATTTTGACAGTAGAAAGTTTTTGGACGCAGTTATTTAAACTTATCAACAAAATTTATGTTCAGAGTATAAAAATAAATCATCTCTTTTACTCCGTAGGAGAATTGACACAAACTGATCAATCGTCTTTAAAGATTGGTGCGTGTCAGGCGGAAATACCATACTTGGCTTCTGACGAAGAATCTTGTGCTCACTTCCACTTCTGCACTGGCGGTATTAGCTACAGAATGGTCTGCGAAGATGAGAGGCTTTATGATCCTTCCACTGGTTTCTGTGGGTAAGTTAGAGAGTACTTTTAACCTAATTTTATATTTCTATATATGAACATTACATTTGTAAAAGTTGCGTACCCCAAATGGTAGTATATTTTATTAAGTTTTTATTTTTCAGTCACCAGGATGTAGCAAAATGTGTGCCCGGTCAAAGCTTACGAATAACAGTTGAGGATGCCGCAAGATTCTTGTCACAAGCTTACGAAACGGATTTCGCGGTATTTATTAGTCGTTATTAACTGGAATAAAAGTGCAAAAGATATTCTATTGATGCGAATATTAAATCTTAAATTTATTTTTACAGTTAAGTAAAGGTGGATCAACGAATAAAGAAGCCGAGCAATTAATAGTAACACCACAATCTGAAATAAAAAAGAGTAAGGAACTTAATAGATCTACCATTTTTTAATATTAGGTTTTACCATTACCATTTTTTACCATTAACATTGAGTTAATCTTTTTTGTGAACCTTTCAGGTAGAGACAACGACAAGCGTGTGGTATGTTATATGACCAATTGGGCATTCTATAGACGTGGGGAAGGGAAATTCGTCCCCGAACACATAGACACACGGCTCTGCACACATGTAGTTTACGCCTACTCTTCTTTGCTAACTGATGATCTTGTTATCAAAGAGTTTGATCCTTGGGCTGATATAACTAACAGTAAGTATACATTTTTGACAACATCTAAATGTTATGGCTTATTAATTCATATTTGTATACTTATTTTTAACGTGTTCCCTCAGATTTATACGAACGTGTGACATCTCTCGGAGATATCAAAGTGCTATTAGGTTTGGGTGGATGGACTGATTCCGCTGGTGATAAATACTCTCGTCTTGTATCGTCGAGCGCCGCTCGCACCAAATTTGTTGTAAAAGCAGTTAGTTTCCTGAAAATGCACAACTTCAAAGGTCTCCACTTGGACTGGAATTATCCAGTTTGTTGGCAGAGTAACTGCAAGAAAGGCGCAAGATCTGATAAACAAAATTTCGCTAAATTAGTTCAGGTAATTCAATCGTTTTGCTTCTGCGTTGTATAGACTTTTTCTTTTCATCGATTATAGACCAGCATCATTAATTTAATAAACTCTTTGTAGGATACACATTTGTATTTGTAAGATGTACAGGGCGTCAGATTCGGATATTGCTTTAAAAATAGTTAAGGATCTTTTGTTTTCCAGGAACTTTCTAAAGCGCTTCATGCAGCAGACATGGAATTAGGTGTGGCTCTTTCCGGCTACAAGGAGGTCATTGAAGCGGCTTATGACCTGCCAATTATATCGAAAGCTGCAGACTTCATGAGCACCATGACTTACGACTACCATGGCGGGTGGGAACGGACGACCGCTCATCATACACCCCTCATACCCGCTCAAAGAGATGCCTTGGCTTATTACTCTATTGTTAGTAAAAATTTAGCTATTTCAACAAAAACTAATATATGTTAAAAAGAACTCAACCTGATTGGTATTCCGAAAGAATCATATAGAATACCTTGATTGAAAATATATATTTCACAATAAAATTTCTAATTCTAACAAATGTGATCATTATCTCAGGAGTATGCGATCAAAGCAATCATTGACGGTGGTGCGGATCCGAAGAAGTTGTTGCTTGGTTTGGCGTTTTACGGTCAGTCCTACAGGCTGGCGGATGTTGAAGGACCAAATGGACCGGGTGCCTCCGCCGCGGGCCCCGGCGAGCCTGGAGAGTTTACTAAACAGCCTGGAATGCTGTCCTACTATGAAATATGTTACCGAGGTAATAACATGAAATTACATGTTCTTAAAACATAAATCAAGAGTTTTTTAAATGGCTGTAATTCAATGTTTTTTTAGTCAAGAACTTACGTTGGAAGACAGGAAGACAAGATCAAGCTGGTCCTTATGCATACTCAGACAACCAATGGGTTGGATACGACGATCCAAAATCTATCCGTGAAAAGGTAATAACAA